GTCATGTGTTCCAGACCCCTAATCATTTTTGTTGCCCTTTGCTGGACTCTTTCCAATTTATCCACATCCTTCTTGTAGTGTGGGGCCCAAAACTGGACACAGTACTCCAGATGAGGCCTCACCAATGTCGAATAGAGGGGGACGATCACGTCCCTCGATCTGCTGGCAATGCCCCTACTTATACATCCCAAAATGCCATTGGCCTTCTTGGCAACAAGGGCACACTGCTGACTCATATCCAGCTTCTCGTCCACTGTCACCTCTAGGTCCTTTTCTGCAGAACTGCTGCCTAGCCATTCGGTCCCTAGTCTGTAGCTGTGCATTGGGTTCTTCCGTCCTAAGTGCAGGACCCTGCACTTATCCTTATTGAACCTTATCAGATTTCTTTTGGCCCAATCCTCTAATTTGTCAAGGTCCCTCTGTATGCTATCCCTGCCCTCCAGCGTATCTACCACTCCTCCCAGTTTAGTATCATCCGCAAATTTGCTGAGAGTACAATCCACACCATCCTCCAGATCATTTATGAAGATATTGAACAAAACTGGCCCCAGGACCGACCCCTGGGGCACTCCACTTGACACCGGCTGCCAACTAGACATGGAGCCATTGATCACTACCCGTTGAGCCCAACAATCTAGCCAACTTTCTACCCACCTTATAGTGCATTCATCCAGCCCGTACTTCTTTAATTTGCTGACAAGAATACTGTGGGAGACCATGTCAAAAGCTTTGCTAAAGTCAAGAAACAAAACATCCACTGCTTTCCCTTCATCCACAGAACCAGTAATCTCATCATAGAAGGCAATTAGATTAGTCAGGCATGACCTTCCCTTGGTGAATCCATGCTGACTGTTCCTGATCACTTTCCTCTCATGTAAGTGCTTCAGGATTGATTCTTTGAGGACCTGCTCCATGATTTTTCCGGGGACTGAAGTGAGGCTGACTGGCCTGTAGTTCCCAGGATCCTCCTTCTTCCCTTTTTTAGAGATGGGCACTACATTAGCCTTTTTCCAGTCATCCGGGACTTCCCCCATTCGCCAGGAGTTTTCAAAGATAATGGCCAATGGCTCTGCAATCACAGCCGCCAGTTCCTTTAGCACTCTCAGATGCAACACGTCCGACCCCATGGACTTGTGCACGTCCAGCTTTTCTAAATAGTCCCTAACCACCTCTTTCTCCACAGAGGGCTGGCCATCTATTCCCCATGTTGTGATGCCCAGCACAGCAGTCTGGGAGCTGACCTTGTTAGTGAAGACAAGAGGCAAAAAAAGCATTGAGTACATTAGCTTTTTCCACATCCTCTGTCACTAGGTTGCCTCCCTCATTCATTAAGGGGCCCACACTTTCCTTGGCTTTCTTCTTGTTGCCAACATACCTGAAGAAACCCTTCTTGTTACTCTTAACATCTCTTGCTAGCTGCAGCTCCAGGTGCGATTTGGCCCTCCTGATTTCATTCCTACATGCCCGAGCAATATTTTTATACTCTTCCCTGGTCATATGTCCAACCTTCCACTTCTTGTAAGCTTCTTTTTTATGTTTAAGATCCGCTAGGATTTCACCGTTAAGCCAAGCTGGTCGCCTGCCATATTTACTATTCTTTCGACACATCGGGATGGTTTGTCCCTGTAACCTCAACAGGGATTCCTTGAAATACAGCCAGCTCTCCTGGACTCCTTTCCCCTTCATGTTAGTCCCCCAGGGGATCCTACCCATCCGTTCCCTGAGGGAGTCGAAGTCTGCTTTCCTGAAGTCCAGGGTCCGTATCCTGCTGCTTACCTTTCTTCCCTGTGTCAGGATCCTGAACTCAACCAACTCATGGTCACTGCCTCCCAGATTCCCATCCACTTTTGCTTCCCCTACTAATTCTTCCTGGTTTGTGAGCAGCAGGTCAAGAAAAGCTCCCCCCCTAGTTGGCTCCTCTAGCACTTGCACCAGGAAATTGTCCCCTACGCTTTCCAAAAACTTCCTGGATTGTCTGTGCACCGCTGTATTGCTCTCCCAGCAGATATCAGGAAAATTAAAGTCACCCATGAGAACCAGGGCGTGCGATCTAGTAACTTCTGCGAGCTGCCGGAAGAAAGCCTCATCCACCTCAACCCCCTGGTCCGGTGGTCTATAGCAGACTCCCACCACTACATCACTCTTGTTGCTCACACTTCTAAACTTAATCCAGAGACACTCAGGTTTTTCTGCAGTTTCGTACCGGAGCTCTGAGCTGTCATACTGCTCCCTTACATACTGTGCTTCTCCCCCACCTTTTCTGCCCTGCCTGTCCTTCCTGAACAGTTTATAACCATCCATGACAGTACTCCAGTCATGTGAGTTATCCCACCAAGTCTCTGTTATTCCAATCACGTCATAATTCCGTGACATCACCAGGACCTCCAGTTCTCCCTGCTTGTTTCCAAGGCTTTGTGCATTCGTATATAAGCACTTGAGATAACCTGCTGATCGCCCCTCATTCTCAGTATGAGGCAGGAGCCCTCCCCTCACAGACATTCCTGCCTGTGCTTCCTCCCGGTACCCCGCTTTCCCACTTACCTCAGGGCTTTGGTCTCCCCCGGTGAACCTAGTTTAAAGCCCTCCTCACTAGGTTAGCCAGCTTGCTCGCAAAGATGCTCTTCCCTCTCTTCGTAAGGTGGAGCCCGTCTCTGCCTAGCACTCCTCCTTCATGGAACACCATCCCGTGGTCAAAGAATCCAAAGCCTTCTCTCCGACACCACCTGCGTAGCCATTCATTGACTTCCACGATTCGACGGTCCCTACCCAGGCCTTCTTCTTACAGTGGCCAATGCTTCAGAGAGAATGAACAGAACAGGTAATCATCAAGTGATTCATCCCCCGTCATCCATTCCCAGCTTCTGGGAAACAGAGGCGAGGGACACTTCAGAGCATGGGTTTGTATCCCTGCCCATCCTGGCTAATAGCCACAGATGGACCTATCCTTTATGAACTTATCCAGTTCTTTTTTGAACGCTGTTATAGTCTTGGCCTTCACAACATCCTCTGGCAAAGAGTTCCACAGGTTGACTGTGCGTTGTGTGAAGAAATACTTCCCTTTGTTTGTTTTAAATCTTCTTTATTTTCAGCTGGGGTCAGGATGAAGGATCTTATATTTTTCATTACTATTTTTAGGTGTGGCAGGATTTGATTTAAATAGTTACTCAGTAAATGTTGATTTCACCTGACACACTGAAATCAACAAAAAAAATACATCGGTAACAGTGGGCAAGCGCAGCCCGGCCTGCACCTTGTGCTTGCAGGGATCCAGTGTCACTGGCTCCGTGGCAGTGTAGGGAGCTCTCTGCAGGCTCACTCACCAGTTGGGAGTGAGGGGCTGCCTCCAGGTAGGAACTGTTCAGCAGGCCAGGCAGCCAGGCCTAGTCCTCCTCTTTGCGGTTCTGGCTAGAAGTATCTGCTGTACCCTGCCAGGACCGCTTCCTTTGCCGCCTCTTGTACCTGAAAGCATCCAGCAGTCCCGTTGTGAAACTCTGAAAATTTATTCTAAACGATAAAAACCAGAAAAAAAGATTAAAAATAATAATCAATATTAATTGTCGAATTTACCACACACAAAAAGAATTCTGCCAACCCTATTTTTTTCAGTGGTCTAGGTTTCCAGAATTGGCAAAATCTACGCTTCTGTCATCAGCACAATAGTATCCACATCTGGATCCCAGACTATTTTTACACATTCTTATTTTTCTTTATCACGTTTCCTTCTTGAGCAGCATGGCTGTTCTGAAAGATAGCAGATAATTTGCTGGTCAAAATGTTCACACACCACTCATATAGAAGAAAATGAAAAATTTGTTTTCTGAAGGCTCACTTTGTACTTTGTTTTGGTTTTACTACTGTAAAGCGTGCAAGTCCCCAGACATTTGGCATCAGTATAAACTTTTAAACATCAAAACTCTAATTCTCCTTAGGGCTTGAGAACGATGGTCAGTTTGTGCTGGTCCTTGCCCCCAGTGCACAAGGAAAAGAAAATTCAAACTATCTTCTATTCCCAACATTGGGACTTGCCATAGTTGCACTCCTGAAAACAGGAACTGCTCCCTGCAGGCACAATGTCCCCTGGAGCTCCTGCTAGGGTAGTCTGACTGTATACTACCTCTGGCTTGTGCTTAACAGGAACCATTTGGCCCTTGATTTGAGGCATAATTTAAATGTAAAATAATTGAATATAAAGCTTGGTTGAAGAACTGCAACTAATATTTGTTTTTTGCCCACATAGTTAATGTAGACTTGTTTGTGAAAAGCTCTTGTTTCAGTCCAAAATTTTGAAGCAAATCGGTGAAATTGTTCACTTTATGAAAATGCTAATTTGTTTACTGGAAGTGAAAACATACCATGCATCTCTGCTTTCTCTACTTCCTTTTCTCACTTATATGAAAAAGTTCATGGTTGTTGTTTTTTCAACAAACAATTTTTTAAAAGACCACACAGCAATTTTTATCTAACTTGGCTGGAGTGAAGAGATCTGCAGAAAAGCCATACATTTGTTGATTTCCAAACATGAGTGGATACAGATAGGAAATCAGATGGCAGTTCTCCCTAAGGAACTCAGAAGTATTAATTGAATTTAATTAATTTAAGGAGCTGGTATGTAATGAAAATTATTTCTAGCTCTAAAGAAAAGAGTACAAATCAACATGATGTTACTTTGGACCATGTGAGGATGGCTACATAAAGGGATCATTTTCTGGAGGATAGAACAGAGGAAGGAGACCTCACTCTATCTTGAACTCTTTATATGACTTCAGGCAGCTCACTAATTCAACATCTCTGGGCCTCACTTTACTCTGTAGAACTGAGATAATATCTCACAGAGGTATTGTTTGGGTAAGTTAGTTAATGTCTTTAAAAGGTGTAATCCTCAGATGGAAGGTGCGAGATGCTGTAAATTTAGGACATTATTATCATCTATCTTAACAAAATGTTATTTCACAGATGTGTTATTATAATATAAAGTTGAAATTTATTTGACGTGTTTTCAGAGCTTGGCAGCCCTGGCCCACACTAGAAGAATGAAGGAACTTTCTGTATCTGAATGTAGGAAGATCACTGATATGGGAATTCAGGTAAGATCAACCAGACCCTTTTATAGGGATATAGACAGATGTCCTCCTAGAAGTCCCTCTGCTTTCTCAAATTAACAATGTCAAAAACTGAGCTTATTTTGCTTTAAAACCCTCTCAATCACTATCCATCACCCAATCCTACAGCATTGGTGATATCACTGATTTTTCTCTTTCCTTTTCCCAGCATATTATGGCCATCAGTGAATTTTAAATTTTCTCCCTCTATATTATCTCTAAAATACTCACCTTCCTAAATATCAATTATTCTAACCTTCTCCTTTCTAGCCTCCCCACTCTCCTCTTCTGTCAATCCAAAATACGGCAGCTAAATATCTTCCTGTAACATTGCATTAACTGTGACTCTCCTCCACTCATGGAGTCCCTTCACTGGCTTTTATGTATCAGTCTTAAATTCATAAGCCTCACTTTCAAAAAACCTTCATCACTCTGCTCCTGCTTATAACTTGTCTCTATTTCCACCTATTCTCCATCTCAATCCGACCTTAGTGAATTTCATCATAAACATTTTTATGTCATAAATGTTTTCCTTTCTAAAATGATTGATTTATTCTGCACTTTTGAAGTTGTAATGTTGGGCTGTATACAACATAAAGATGCTGTTTGGTTACAGTTGTGACCATGAGATGTGTTCTTTAAGATATTGCTTTATATGTTTCTGTGTAGTGGTAGTTTAGAAAGAAAACATATCCAATATCTTTGTTTAGAAGGTGTCCTCAGTTAACAACCAATCTAACAGCAGCTATATCTTTACAATGCGATCAGAAAGGGAAAGTAATTACATGGTATAGAAACAACCTTTGTTTTGAAGCCACCCGCAGTTTGAAGTTACTAAAGAGGGAACTATTTGCATTCATTGGAAACTCTGACCTCTAAATAAAGTTATACAGTAATTAAACATTTTTACTTCAAAGTGTCTAGCAATTGTCATAAAAATACTTTATTTCAGCTCAGTATTTCACTGGAACAGCACGTTTGATGAATTGTTTTAAGTTTCGGATTTACTGACGCATGCAGCATCTGTTTTTAATTATTATCAGTGATGTTATTTCCCAGCTGAAGATTTGTCACATTGACAGTATGACTGTAAAGGTTACTTGCATATTGAAATTCTGATTTATCATTTTGTTTCTGTCTTTATTGTTTTAATTGTCATTGATATAGCATCGTAGATCTTCATGGTGCTTTTAGAAACAATACACAACTAAGGCCTCGACTTTATATATGTGCATACACTTCTATGCATTCACAAGTTGTGCATGAAGAGCGCCTAAAGTATGATTACAAATAGGGGATAACTTGTGCAAGCAAATATTTTTGTACATGTTCAAGCATGATTTACATGTGCACACTGAGCATTTTGCACATGCAAAAGTGCATCACACTTTTCCACAAAGACCTTTAAACGTTTCCACCTAAGTCTCTGCCTGTAGACTCTAACACTCTAATTCTGCAAAATACTTAATTACATGAGTAAATGTTATTTACTTCAAGAACATGCTTACCTGCTTTTCTGAGTAGGATGGGATTACTGTTCTGAAGGTTAATCATGTGCTGAATTGGGCCCTAAATTAAGACAAGAGAAACAGGAGGAAATGACAAATTCTGAGAGAACAATGGCAAAGACAATAAGATTATGGAGTTGCTGTATTGATTTCAGAGAATATCAGGGTTGGAAGGGACCTCATCTAGTCCAACCCTCTGCTCAAAGCAGGACCAATCCCCAATTTTCTCCCCAGATCCCTAAATGGCCCCCTCAAGGATTGAACTCACAACCCTGGGTTTAGCAGGCCAATGCTCAAACCACTGAGTTATCCCTCTTCCCCGTATTGATATATTTATTAATATAACTATCTAAAGATGATAAGCTTCCCTGAAGAAATGATTTTGAGACGGGATTTAAAGAAGGATGGGGGGAAGTGTGGCAGACAAGTCAGATAGGCATAAAAGAAGCTATCTAGTAGGACTGGTTGAAAACTCAAGTTTTACCTGTGTGAAAAATTGCCAATGATTTCTTTTGAAAATTTTCACAGAAAATTTCGGTTTTCCTATAAAAAAAATTGAAATGAAATAAAAATGGTGTTTCAATTTGAATTGAAAATTTTGTTTTGTTTAAAAAAAGTATTGAAAAATCAAATGTCATTGAAATCAAACATTTTCTGAAACATTTCAATTTCAATAACACTGCATTTTTCTACAAAAAATAATTGGAATCCATTTTTTTTGACCAGCGGTAGTATTGATGTGAGTGTGGGAGAAGGAAATAGAGAGGTTAGTTAGATGAGCATCAAGCAAAGAGAGAGTTTGGGGAGGCGAAAGGTGGCAAGGCCAGAGAGGTAGGAAGAAGCTTGTTTGTGGAAGGTCTTGAAGGAGCTTGAATTTGATGAAAGAGACAATAGAGAGAAAGTGTCTGGATTTGCAACAGAAATTGGGCCATTGGGTGTGCAGATGAGATGAGTGTCAGGATTGAGATGCTTGAAAATAGAGATCTTCTGAAATTGACCTTAATTCTTAATAAGACAAACTCCCATGCTCACCTCTATCCCAGATTTAGTTAACGAGCAAACACCTGTATTGGAAAGAAAATGGCCTGTGTTTTATTCATTTATCATAAAGAAGGTGATGTGATTACTATAATATTTGATTTGCTGACACTATAAAGATGTCATGTTATTTACCTTCTCCGCATTTTCTAAAAATCAGTATGGAGACATACATTTCCTTTCCATATCACAATGACATAAATCAACACTAATCAGGAACTTAAGATTGTTCTCATTGCCAGTGGGCAATGAGGTGGGATTTATATCTTACTTCAAATGAGAACAATAGTTGGAGTAGGATATAAACAGCAGCTGCAGTTTATACTTTAAACTGCACCTGATAAACACTCCTGACTACATGTGACAGAGAAATGCTGAGATCTCCTATTCACTGGCAATCATCACACTCATGCCATAAGCAGCGGGGGACCCCATGCCTGCAGGTGTTGGCATTGCCATTGTGTAACCCCAGTCTTTGACTCCCACAGCTTTTTCCATTATAGGACTCCACATCCATAACTTTAAAGCCATATATTATAGGAATGAGTCAGTCCCTACTACACCCCAGGAGACGCATCTGGATTTAATTTTTTTACTCTGCATACACACAAAGATCTACAGACAAGCCACTGGCAGAACTGATGCCTTAGAGAACAATTCTGATTGGACTTTCTTACATGTTCCATGTAATTGAAACATAAACAATGTCAGAACAGAAATATCTCTTCTAATTTATGAAAGCCAGTATATAGCCATCTGGGTTTTTATATAAGGATCAAGAGGACTGTCACATGATGTTTAGACGCAAAGCTTGTCTTCAGTGCAAAATATTCAGTTTCTCATCTATATAAAGTCAGCTCCCTAAAATTGAACATGGCTCACAAGATAAATCAGCGTCTTGTCTCAAAATAAAAACTTTCTCACTACCTCTGCAATTATGCCATGAGAAACTCCCCTGTAGGTCAGCTGCCAGTAGGGAGCTCCTGGGTACATAGCAACTATAGGAGCCATGTTGCCAAGAAAGCTGGAGGGGTAAGAAAAAAGGAATGATTGTGAAGTGGACAGGCTAGAAATTATTGCAGAGATTGAAATTTCCTGTCCCCGTTAGAGGATTTTCCTATCTAGGGAATCTAGACCTATCATATTATGAAATACTTGTAGCAGTGGTGAGCTGGAGCCGGTTCGCACCAGTTCACTAGAACCGGTTGTTAAATTTAGAAGTCCTTTTAGAACCGGTTGTCCTGCGAGGGAGAACTGGTTCTAAAAGGGCTTCTCAATTTAACCACTGGCCAAAAGTGGCGCCTTAGGCGCCGACTCCATGGGTGCTCCGGGGCTGGAGCACCCATGGGGAAAATTTGGTGGATACAGAGCACCCACCGGCAGCTCCCCACCCCGCGCCCAACCCCAGCTAACCTCCACTCCGCCTCCGCCTCCTCCCCTGAACGTGCCGCCCCGCTCTGCTTCTCTGTCCTCCCCCCCGGCCCAGTTTCCCGCGAATCAGCTGTTTGCGCAGGAAGCCGGGGGGCTGAGAAGCAGGTGGCGGCTTCGCGCTCAGGCCCAAGGAGGCGGAGCAGAGGTGAGCTGGGGCGGGGGGTCCACAAGGAGGGCCGCCCACGCCGCAGCAGGTAACCCAGCGGGGGGCCCAGGAGGACCGCTCCCCGCCCCAGCTCACTTCCACCTCCCTGGGCCTGAGCGCGAAGCCGCAGCCTGTGTCTCAGCCCTCCCTGGCTTCCCGCACGAACAGCTGATTCGCGGGAAACCTGAGTGGGGGGCAGAGAAGCAGAGTGGGGTGGCGCGTTCAGGGGAGGAGGCGGAGTGGAGGTGAGCTGGGGCCTGGCGCGGGGCGGGGAGCCGCCGGTGGGTGCTCTGCACCCACCAAATTTTCCCCATGGGTGCTCCAACCCTGGAGCACCCAGGGAGTCGGTGCCTAAGGCACCACTTTTGATGTGATCAGTGGGGGGAGTGGCCACTCCCGCTGCTCCCCCCCCAGCTACGCTCCCCTGCCCCTAGGAGCCAGAGGGACCTGCCGGATGCTTCCTGGGAGCTGCCCCAGGTAAGCACCGCCAGGACTCCCCACCTCACCCCGGCAGGTGCCTCTGGCTCTTAGGGGTGGGGTGGGCAGCCACTACAGTGGCCCACGAGCCCCTCCTGCCTGGTTTTGGGGGCAGTCAGGGGACAGAGGAGGGGGGTAGTTGGGGCAAAGGTCCCGGGGGGGGCATCAAGGAACGTGGGGGGGTTGGATGGGGCAAGAGTCCCGGGGGGCCGGGGTGAGCCACAACCCCCTCGTGGGGTGAGGAGGGAACCGGTTGTTAAGGTTTTGGCAGCTCATCACTGACTTGTAGACAGTTATTCTATTTCCCCCTTCCTATCCATTCCTTAGTGCTAAACTATATATATAGTACTTTTCCACCTAAGACCATTCCTCTTCTCTGAATTCCC